CCTTGCAGCCCCCCCCGGCTCCCAGCAGGCTCCAGCCGCTGCTGCACACCCCATGCCACGTAGCGTTGTAGAGCACCTCCACCTGCCCCGCGCAGGGACCGGGACCATCTTTCACCCGCACCTGCAAGGGGTTTGTGCCTGCAAAGAAGAACACAAGGGGGTGAGGTGGCCCCTCTGACCTCAGTCGGCGATGAGAGCTTCTGACTTGCTCCTGGGCATTTTTTTCTGGTGCCTTGCTGAAGGCAACCCACCAGCACCCACAACAAGCTAGGAAGCATGGATTGCCTTACTACATCCTTTTGTACGAGATGCCTTCATAAGCAATGTCACCACAGGGCTGTTATCTGTGAAACGGGGCTCATGGAAGACCCACACCCACAGCCCCATGGCACTGGACTTCAGTATCTAGGAAAGGTGTGCCTGGAATATATTTTTTTTTAAGGAAGACTTTGCCCATCCCAGGATGCTGTCACTGATGAGCTACAGGTACATAGTCTAGATTAAATCAATATGAGTTAGGTGCACAACTCCTGTCTAAGGCAAAGTGGCATTTTTGTTCAACTCCAAGCCAAGTGGCTGGGTGAAAGCTGACTTCTGCTCTGATGCTGGGATGGGGAAGAGTGAGCAGAGGAGCACAGCCCTGGGGTAGAACAGCAGTTCCAGCACCCGTGGAGCCCCCCCGTGGATGGACACCAACCATTCTGGCTCACGTGAGCCAGTCCCTGCAGTCTGGTGTTACCTGAGCACACCACGCCAGCATCCTCGCTGTGGCCGCAGTTGTGCTCTCCCCAGTTGCTCAGCTCACAGCTGGTGAGGGTGGACTCGGTCCCCCTGCAGTGAACGTTGTCCAGCCAGATGGGATCTGACCCTGGCCCGAAATGAGCTGAGCCCGGTGCTGACAGCGCTATCCCGCAGCCCAGCTGCTTGCACACAACAGCGGCGTCGTGGAGGTCCCAGGTGTCATCGCACACGGTCCCCCACTTGTTGTTGTGAAAGACTTCGACTCTTCCCAGGCAGCTGCTGGAGCCATTCACCAGCCGGAGCAGGCGCTGCCCCGAAGTGTCCGTGTCTGTGAAAGGAGCAAGGGGCACATGCATGCCTGACCATCATCCACGGCTCCAGTTGGGCTCTGCAACATGCTAAGCTGCGGGAAAATCAGAGCATCCTTCCACACGTGCAGCCCCCGGATGCCTGGAAAAGGTGCTACACCAACAGGGATGGCTTGGGATTTACTTCTCATTGGGGTGTATAAAGAGGGGTCACAGCTCCAGAGCTTGGGGCTTGGAGGCTGACAAAGGGTCAGTAGTGACTATGGGGTGGTCCTGGGGCCAACAGTCACTGTGGGAGGGTCTTGGAGTCAACAGTGACTATGAGATGGTCCTGGGGTCAGTAGTGACTATGGAATGGTCCTGTGGCCAACAGTGACTATAGGAGCTGGTAGGAGCTGTTGCCTGATTCATTTGTGTGTCTAGAGCTGTCGGAAAGGGGGGAGGTAGGAGAAGGGGTTGCTCTTCCTACACAAAATCATTCTAACAGCACACTGGGGTCTCACAGCCTGTGCTGACACAGGGAAGGGCATCACCCAACGTGGCATTCATAGCCTTCTCTTGATTTAATTTTATTTTTTTAAACCAGAGTGGGGTAAGGTCACCCATCCCTGGCTACCTAGGATGCGATTGAGCTGATCTTGCACCCCAACCTGCACGGTCCTTATCCCAACTAATGTGGATCACCTGAGCACACCACGCCAGCATCCTCCTGGTGGTCACAGCTGTTGGATCGCCACGGCCTGACCTGGCATTCAAAAAGGGCACCTTCTGTCCCCGCGCATTTCACGCTATCTAGCCAGATGCGGCCGGACCCTTGTCCGAAGTGAGCCGAGCCCAGGGCTGAGATGGCTGTTCCGCAGTGCAGCTGCCGGCAGACCACCGCCGCCTCAGCCAGGCTCCAGCTGTTGTCGCACACCGTCCCCCACTGATGGAGGTGGAACACCTCCACGCGCCCCGCGCAGCGGCTGGGGGCGGTAGGCGGAGACGAGCTGGTGTGTCGGTGGCTGTGCCTGCTTGTGACACAAGACACAAAGGGGAGTGTCAGACCAGGTCTCCCCCAAGGTGCCTCTTCTTGCCACCATGGTGAGACCCATGCTGGAGGATGCTCCCCTGTGTTTTGCACGAAGAGCAGTTAAGGAATATCTAAAGTTTGGGGCTAAACATCTTGGGTGCAGGAGAACCAGCCATGCAACCTCAGAGCCTGTGCACATTCAACATGAGCACAAGCAAACCATAAATGGCTGCAACACTTTTTTTAGTCCTCTAAGGTGGCCATCCGTGAACCCTTCATGTGGCTGCAGCAGCCCCTGAAAGGAGAGACTTTCTGCAGACCCCAGTTGCCACTGCCCCTTCTTTAAAAAGACCTGACACCTCCCCCACCCCCCACTTTGCACAGCGTGTGTACTACTGGCCCCATAGCGTGGTGGGTTGGAACCTTGCTAGGTGCATGTAGTACCCAGTCCGGTGCTTCTCCTCTCTCCTTGGTGCTCATGCAAGTGCACTTTTTGCGTGCTGACCAAAGGGCATTTGTTCCCTTCCTGTTATCCCTGCTGCTCCTTACTTTCATGGACCTGTGTGCTAAAGAGTGCCAGCATGGCATGTTGTAGGAGATGGGACAAAGGGGACAAGGTCACCCACCCAGGTGTCTGGTGCCCAGCCCTTGGCTGCAGCTGCGAAACCAGTACGAATACCCAGAGCAGAGCATCCTCCGCTGAACTTCTCCTCCTGGTTCGCAAGCATGATGTTACCTGTGCACACAACGCTGGCATCTTCTTCATGGTTGACGCTGTTGACACCCCAAGGTCTGGCCACGCATTCGGACAAGGCAGCTTCGGTCCCACTGCACTGAACACTGTCCAGCCAAATGGGGCCCAATCCTGGGCCAAAGTGAGATGAGCCGTAGGCTGAGACTGCTGTCCCGCAACCCAGCTGCCGGCACACCACGCTGGCATCGGGGATGCTCCAGTTGTTGTCGCACACAGTTCCCCACTGGTGGTTGTGCATCACCTCCACTCTTCCAGAGCAGCGGTTCGGGCCATTCACCAAGCGGAGGTCTACAGGACTGGTGTAGTTGGCCATAGGGTGGCTGGATGAGTCTACGGAGGGCACAAGAGGTGCACCATGAAAACCCCGTTGCCCCTCATTTCTGCAGGACTGTTCCGTACTGCGCTATGCTTGTTGGCTGTGCCCGGTTGCTACCAACATGCAGCCACCTCCAGAGTGGGATGGGGGTGATGCCACATGGACTTTCCAGCTGTGGCTGGAGGTTCTGAGGATGCTGGGACAGGAAGCAGGAAGGCTTTTTTTCTGGCATTCATGGGGCACCATGTCCTCTTTGCAGGTGGAAGTGACAACTGAGGGGGCTCAGCACACCTGTGTGTTGATGTCTGTGGGGACAATTCTCCAGCATTTACCACTTGCCGTAAGCACCTGCAACCTTGAGCAGCCACCAAAGCTCCACGCTTTTGAAGCCTCACAGTTTGTGGCCATAAAAGAGTATTCTCTAAGCTGATTGTGGCTTGCCAGAGGCAAGGGCGTGGAAACCATCCTGTCTCTCTTGTTGCTGATGGGGAGGAGGAATCTGGGTCTCCTCCCGGCCCCTCTCTCCCCTGCCTGAGGCTGCATCTCACAGTGCCTGCCTAAGAAACACAATGGGTCTCTAGCCCTGCCTGAGTCCCCAGAACACGCAGGCAAAGCAAGGCGCACGGGGTCCTGCTCACCGCAGAGGTGTGTGATGCACAAGGGGTCCCTACCCCTCCCCCAGAGGTGGTTCAGCATCTCAGGAGGGTGGAGTTAGCACAGATAACGTTTCCGAGCCCGCTTCCCAAATTGCTCACTAGCCTGCAGTCCCTTGTACAGGACAAACCACAAAACCATCCCTTGCTGGGGCCATGGGTGCTCTGTGCCACAGAGAGCTTTTGGAAAGTTGAGGGGGCAAGACTCCTGAGGGAATTGCATTGAGGACCATGTGCCCCCCCGCCCCAATTTCCATGGGGCATTACCTGAGCACACCACGCCGGCATCTTCACCATGGTGGCAGTTGTTCTTTCCCCAGCCCTTTGTCCTGCAGTAAGACAGAGCGACCTCCGTCCCCGTGCAGTTGACATCATCCATCCAGATGGGACCAGACCCTGCCCTGAAATGTGTGCCCCCGGCGGCTGACAGTGCTGTGCCGCAGCCCAGCTGCCGGCACACCACGGCGGCATCCGCCAGGTCCCAGTGGTCGTCGCACACTGTTCCCCACTGGTTCTCGTAGAAGATCTCAACCCTGCCGGCGCAGCGGTGCGGGCCATCTGACAGGTGGAGGGGAGCCCGCAGGGAAGCAACCAGGTCTGCAAGAGGGATACGGAGAGGGCCCGGTGTGGAAGAGCAGCACTGGGAAAGGCTGTGTCGCTTGGAGCCTCTGCAAATGGCAGTGGCTTATGTGAACCATGGACGTGCTTCTCCTTTGGCTCAAAGACAAATGAAAAAAAACGCAGAATAATCCAGGAGAGAAAATGCTCTGCAAACCCCCTTTTTGAAAGACAATCCTTGGAAAGATACACATCCCTGGAAGTGTTCAAGGCCAGGCTGGATGGGGCTTTGAGCAATCTGGTCTAATGGAAGATGCCCCTGCCCATGGCAGGGGGGTTGGAACTAGATGATCTTTAAGGTCCCTTCCAACCCAACACATTCCATGATTCTATGAATCTATAATTATATTTAAAGGTACTTCAGATATTTTTTTGCTTAGTATTCCCAATCAATGAGAAGGAAAACACTACCAGCTGGATTGAAAACTCTAGGAAATTGTACATAGGGAGTAGCTGCCAGCCATCTGATGGAAAACGGGGTGTCTGTGTGCAACCAGGTGCTTTAATTAGTAATTTGTGTGATGAGAGAGGGAGCCTGCATGGCAATTAGCCCATGGCCCCTAGCCAAGTGGAGCTGCGTCTTAGAGGAGGGCATTACAGGGGCTTAAACTACTGCAAGAAAGGTAAATATGAGGTGTTCAATCACCATGGCAGTAAGTGCTGGAGTGGCCAAGCCGCTCTGGGGTGCCTATGTTGGGATCTGGGTAAATAAAGCCTGCAGCATCCCCTGGAGAATGGGATGCAAAATGAGGCAGGCAGAGACAGAAAAAAATGACAACAGCACCTTGCCATCCCGCTGGCAGCACAATCGGTCACCTCCTGGAAAGCCTTTGCGTCTGCAGAGCGCAGAGCAGAATGAATGCCTGTTTGCGCTGCGGGGAAGAGGACTTTGTGCCCTTTGTAAACAAACTGGCCGGCCCTGAAGAGGTGGCCAACACAAATAAGCAATTTCTGGTCTTGACCGTCATAAGTTGGTAAAGCTCCAAGCATTTCCCAACGACTCTGTGCAAGGATAGCAGCGCAGAGGCCAGGATAATTACCTGGCTAACAAGGTCTCCTCCCCCATCTGCCGCTTTTTCTTCCCTTTAAGGGCTGGTGGGTCAAAGGAGGCTTTGCCCCATCCATCTGGAAGCCCAGTGGCCCCCATTCCTGCAGATCACCATCCCCCTCCTTCTCCTAGGGTGGTCCTTCCCCCGTGCAGGAGCCACTCACCGCAGAGGCACGCCAGGTAGATGAGGAGCCCTGCTCTGGTGAAGCCAGCCAGGTTGCTGTGCAGGGACAGGAGGCCATGTCCCAAAACCCCCATGCCTTTAGGGCAGGATGACCGTCCCAGTGCAAGCTGCAAGCTGAGCTGGGTGCTGTCACTGCCGGGAAGGTGGCGAGAGGAGGTTTGTCCCCTCCTCTGCAGCAACAGTGCCTGTATTTGCCCGGTGCTCATCCCTCCTCCTGCACTGACCCCTCCTCCCTGCTGTCCCCTGGATTTTGCCCTCTAAATGGTTTAGGAGCCCCCACCAGCACCTGAGCCATGTCTGCTAGGAGATTCCCCCCGTTCCCAGCTGTGTCTGCCCTGTTTCAGCCCCACCTCCCCGGTCCCCAGCCAGCTCCCGGCCGTGGATCCAGCAGCAGGAGGGTTTGCAATGCTCACTTGCGGGGGTTTGCACCCTTGGGAAAAGCTGAGCCTTGTCTTGCAGGTATCCAAAAGTGGACCACCACCCCCCCCCCCAATCTGGGGATACACCCAGGGTGCTTGTGGAAGGCAAGAAACCTCCTTTCCCCTGCCAAAATACGGAGATTTTGAGGGATTGTGTACATTGAATAGCATGCTCTGGCTGAAGTCTGTCCTGAAGTCACATCGCTGAAGCCGTTGTGTGTGTAAAATGCACAGCCTGTATTCTGGGAGTATCACATAATATAAAGAATAAGGGGGAGTGGGGGTGTCCAGAAACTGTGCTGTAGCCACTGAGATTAAGCTGCAAACATGCTCAGGTTTTGGGCACCCCACTTGTTGCATTGATTCTTGTTCTGAGTTTAAGGGAATTTGGGGAATTGAGGCGGGTGATGGTTTAGCACAAACCCCTGGGTTTGTGATAAACATCCCCATATTCGTACCATAATTCAGGTTTTCAGTGAATAGTCTGTTCACCTGCAAGCAGCAGGATGGGGTTGTGATGGGGTCCCTGGGATGACCTGCAGGTTTTTGCATTCCAAGGCTGGGGTGGAGGCATGACTATGGGGCAAGGAGCCCGCCTGGTCCCTGGAGCTGATGCAAGGAAAGCAGAGCATCACCGAGCCCTGGGACCAGGACACTGGACTGAGTAGGCTCCTGGCGTACCTTCATCAGAGATGATGGAGCTGGGCATAGTCATGCCGGGCAGAGGGAGCAAAGTGGGGAGCTCAGCACCTCGTGACGCTGCAGCCAAGGACCCTGCAGCCCCTCTCCCTTCTCAGCTCCTGGCCAGGAAGGAAGGTCACGCATCCTCCAGAGTTGAGTTCTCTCCTCAAACCCCCTCCCTGCTGCCTCCAGTCAAATCCAGCCTGCAGACCCCACAACACCAGGCATGATGGACAACAGGCATCAACATTTCTGAGATGACCCTGTGGGGCACACCATCCCTCTTTAGGACTGTGACATGGGAAACGGCTACGTCCCATTCCACCTGCACTGGGCTGCTGGCTTCCCAGGGCCATGGGCTCCCACGGCTGTGTAAGGCAGGCTGAACCAAATACAAAGATTCTCAGCAAAAAAAGCAGTTCTGAAAGGATGCTCCGTGCTTCTCCCAGTGGCGAACGTGACCTGTGGAAGCGTTGTCTGAGCACACAGCACTGGCATCTTCCTCGCTGTGGTGGGAGCCTGCACCCCAGCGCTGAGCTGGGCGCCTGGAGAGGGCAGTTTCTGGCCCCACGTTGCTCAGCTGGATACAGCCCAGCCCCTATATAAAATCCCTACTGCCTTGTGGTGGAAGATGACCATTAATTTTCAGCCTTTTGTACCTGCAAAGTTTAAGCCTTTCCTAAAGAGAGCTCCCACATCTTTTCAATTCACTGTTCATGCCAAGAAGAGGGAGCCCAAAGGCTTCCCTTCCCACCTCTAGCTCCCTGTAGTCTGAACATCGTCTTAGGGACTGCAGGAAGGTTTGTTACCCCCCCATTAATTAAGGTGCAGCCCTTGGCATGACGCAGCATGGAGGCAGGATATTTTGCCCCTGTGATTTGCTTGCACAGCTACCAGCACTCTTCAATCTGTAAACATGAGCTTGGATGGTCCAACATCTCCTTGTGGAGCACATCAGCACGATGCAGTAACTGCGAAGCTGGAACAGAGTGAGATTGCATCCCTGTAGGCTTGCATATGATGGACTGAGTTGTAAAGTCCTGCAAGGTGTAAAATGCACAATGCTCATGAAATCACTGATGTCCAGGGTGAACAAATAATTTTTGGCTAGTAAGACAGTACACAGAGGAAAAAAACCCCAAACAAATGGTACTCCACTTTCAGCATTGCTATCCCAGCAGCTGCATTTTGAACCCCAACCCTTGCTGCATTTTTTTAGTGCAAGTGAGAAGGCGTTCGTGTGTTCATGCTCTCAGTTGTGGGAGGGTGCAAGAGCTTTGCAGGCATCACAGCTTTGAAAGATTTGGACAGCAAGCCCTGCTGACATCGCTCATGGACCCATTTTCAAGGGTTCTGTGAAGCAAAGACACGGAAGCGGGTTTGGGGTTGAGGGATGCCCATTTTGACCAAGTATTTGACCATTGTATAACTTACCTTTAACCCTTACTTTAACTCCTAAGTAACACCTAAAGGTAAGTTATACATTTCCCGCTGGGTCTGAGAAGTGTTCGATCCAACCTAGCCCATAAGTGGCACTGGAGATGGGGTCAACATGCAAACCAGGCCACTTCTGATGGCCTCCAGTCTCCCGGCATCTAGAGTTCTTGTGTTAGGCATGTTCGCTGTAGTATCTGCTTTTAGACAGATTGTTCACACTTTTGACTGATTTCTCTTTGAACTAGCTGACAGCATCAGCCCCCGCAACCCTCCCTGAGGCAGCAACTGAGTCTCTGGACCTGCGCTACTTGCAGTACATGCTTCCTGAGGCATGGTGACCAGCACTACACACACTACAAAAGATGTGGAAGAATCACAAAATCACAGAATCATTAAGGTTGGAAAAGACCTCTGAGATCATCAAGTCCAACCATTAACCCAACACCACCATGCCCACTAAACCATGTCCTGAAGTGCCATGTCCACACGTTTTTTGAATGAGGGTGTACAGAACCAGGATTGTGTATCACAGCAAAATTATACCCTTGCCTTGTCCTCAATGCTCTTCTTAGGGTATGCAACATTTTGTTGGGTTTTTTGACTGCTGCAGCACCCAGAGATGATGATTTCAGAGAACTCGTTTGCAGCTGCTTACTAGAAAAGGAAAACATTTAAAGCCAGACATGGTGCACCATGAAATTTGTTGCATTGCATTGCACAGATGTGCAGCTAGATGGCAGAAAATCGCCTTATTATTCGAGGGCAAGCGGTTGGAAACACTATTCTGTGACTGCCTTGCAGTCTCCAAACTTGCTTGCACCTTCCAGGGAGTGCAAAGAGATCATGCGTGTGCCAAGAGCTGAGCATTGTGAACTGTTCTCTGCAAAGCTGAGAATGCAATGGGAGAAGCCATCAGGATCTTCTTGTGTGGCTCATTTTTCTCTGCTGACTGCTCCCAGTGGCTGTAATGACAGCCCAGCACAGATATCTGCACTTGAGCACTTCGGGTTTTTGCAAATGACTGAGGTCTGCATGTGCCAGCATCTCCATGGTTCATCCCACCACAGCTGATGCAATGTGGACTTGTCTTGTGCTACCCCTTGGCCTTCGCATCTCAGCATCTTCTGCTGCTCTGAAGCATCTGAAATCTTTCATCCTTCCCTTCAACGATGAAGTAA